AACACGCTACTTTATTAACAAGCTTTGCATTATTATCACCAAATGCTGTGTTCGTGTCACAGAGTTTCATACATGTTCAAACTTATTTGGACATTCATAATGACAATCTTTCCATGATTTACACAAGAACTATTTTGTCCTCCCTCAGTAAACATCATTGTTAAGCCGGACTCCCCAACCGAATGGCGCCCTGGGCAGTTGGTGGTGGCAGCAGTCGACAGGTAATAGGGATTGAGAGCTGCATGCATCAAAACTAATTACCTTAAATAGCCCCTGCCTCGGGCTTATTTTTCCAGTCCACGTCTCTCCAATTTGACAGCTGGCAAAGGTAGCTGTGGTGGCGAGGTGCTGCGTGGGATTTTTCATCCTGTTAATTAATTGTAGGGGAACTAAACCGTGAAAAGCTACAGACAGGGGAACTTTAGTGGCCCCTCTCTTGGCAGGTCTGCTATGACAGCCACCAAGGGGAAGTGCACATTAATAAAGCCAGGTGCAAAAAGAAAACTGTAAAAAAATGCTGTACTGGATTAGTTTTGGGTGGTTTAACTTCATTTGGGGCTGAGCTGAACTTGAAGCTATCAAACAATCATCAAATACAGTTTTCCTCCTTTAATAAACTGGATAAAAGCAGCTTGTTTTTAAGTCAGAAAAATTGTTTTGTTTGAAGAAAAGGCTTCATGAATAAGAGACGAAATCACAATAGGACAGAAAAGAAAAGGCAAAATATTAGCCTAAAAGAAAAAAATTGATGATTTGGACTCAGATACTACAACCTTGTTAGCATCGCGAGCTTATTTCCATATTAACGACCCCTTCAGAACCTTCAAAGTAATGAATAATTGACAACAAATGAAATGTTTTGATTGTCGTCAGCGCCCGGCGTGTTTAATGTTTCATATGTTGCTTCTGAGCTAATTATGGAGATGGCACATTTGTCAGAAATATGTCCCCCTCGCAACCCCTGCCCCTGCCAGTGTGTTTCCAGACAGGACAGGGAGGGGGTGATGCAGGGGTGCAGACAACTACAGGCCCTGTTGTAATTAGCTAGCAGGGAATGCTCAATGACCTGGGAGGGAGTCTAATGGTTGCCAGTGCTTACAGGCATTGTTTGGCCACAGAAACATCAGACATTACAACCTCTGAGGGAGGAGAGCAGATATTGTTATTGATGAAGACGCGTGGCTGGTGCGACAGTCAAAATACTCCATTATAATACTGCAATACTGTCTTCCTCTTTACAGAATGTAGAGAGGTTAAAAACAAGTTTATCTCTGGCTTAAGGCCATAATCATTAGCAGTGATACACTATCTCAGTCATAATTAAACCTGACAGATCATCAGCATAAAATAGCTCCATATTTTTGTAAAAACATCTTTGTTTATGCTTCTATAGAAAATGTTATGATCAGATCGGAGAAAATTCGTAAGGAAACCTTTCTGTAAACTATTATCTCATAATATTGCTTTGCACTTGAATGAAACCTTCCGACAAGAGCAGAGCGGTTGTACAGTTAAGAGTTCAAGAGTTCGACTTTTACAATGACTGGCTGGTTCTTCAGGTCAATCATGCCAGGACTGATGTAGGAAGGACTGCTTTTACAGCAGACTCATGGGGACATAAAACTGAATATTCACATCTCTTACGTACTTACTAACATTTTCCATGGTGCAGTCTTGACATTGTCATGGTCATGCTCAATCAGAGAACGGGCAGCTAAGTGTGTAGGAGGAACTTTGGGGACCAGTGCCCACACAGTCAGTCTGGTTTGTCCATTCTGGGCTACTGTAGAAACCCACAGGTTAAACGTGTCTAATTCTACGGCAACAAATACACGATTCTTTTATTATTATACACAAATGAAAACATACCTATGAATATTATATTCCTAAATGTTACA